GGTCTTTTGAGCATGAGCTGCCCATTCTTCTTGTTTGGCCCTGCATTGGGCACCTTGCAAAAAACACTGAACTTTCCTTTAGCAAGACCTGGTGTCAGTAGATTGGATTTGCTGCATGCAGGCAAGCAAACCCAAGTTTGGTTCAATTACAGTGAAGAAGGGCAAATGAAGTGTTTCCTGTTTTGGGCTATTATGAATAAAATAGCCATTATAGGTTTTTGTGTGAATATAAGTTTTCATTTCTCTGGGGGTTGCCCATGAGTGCAAGTGCTGGGTTGTATGGTAGTTGAATGTATTTTATTTTATTTTATTTTATTTTATTGTGGTAAGAACACTTAACTTGAGATCTACCCTCTTAACAAAGTGTATACTACATTATTGTTGGCTAGAAATACAATGTTGTCCAGCAGATCTCTGGAGCTTATTCATCTTGCATGATTGAAATATTATGCCTATTGATTAGTACGTCTCATTTCCTCCCTCAAGTCCCTGCCAACCTCTTCTACTCTCTGCTTCCAAGAATTTATTTTAGATATCTCATATAAGTGGAATCATGCAGTGTTTGTCTTTCTGTGACCGGTTTATTTCACTTAGCAAACATCCTCAAAGTTCAACCATGTTGTCACATATTGCAGAATTTCCTTCTTTTTGCAGGTTGAATAATATTGCACTGTTTATATATATACCACATCTTTATCCATTCATTCATCGATGGACTTTCAGGCTGTTTCCATATTGTGGGTACTGTGAACAATGCTACAATGGACATAAGAATGCTAACATCTCTTCAAAGTTCTGATTTACATTCTTTTAGATTTATACCCATCTTTTAGATTTATACCCATCCAGTGGGATTGCTGGATCATATGGTAGTTCTATTTTTAATTTTTGAGGAACATCCATACTGTTTTCCACAGATGCTGCACCATTTTGCATTCCCACCCACAGTGTGCAAGGGTTCCAATTTCTCCACGTCACTGCCAACACTTGTTTTTTGTGTGTTTTTGTTTTGTTTTTGCAGATGTGAAGTGATATCTCATTGTGGTTTTGATTTGCATTTTCCTGGTGATTAGTGACATGCAGTATTGTTATTATGATTCTGAGTTCTACAGCCTATATTATTATTATTTTTTTTTTGGCTGTGTTGGGTCTTCTTTGCTGCACGTGGGCTTTCTCTAGTTACGGAGAGCGAGGGCTACTTTTCTTGCAGTGCGCAGGTTTCTCATGGCAATGGCTTCTCTTGTTGTGGAGCACAGGCTCTAGGCACACAGTCTTCAGTAGTTACAGCACACGGGCTCAGTAGTTGTGGCTCGCAGGCTCTAGAGCACAGGCTCAGCAGTTGTGGTGCATAGGATTTGTTGCTCCGTGGCATGTGGGATCTTCCCAGGCCAGGGATCGAACCTGTGTCCCCTGCATAGGCAGGCAGATTCTTAACCACTGTGCAACCAGGGAAGTCCTATAGCCTATATTATAAGGGGATTTAAAAAGACCTCCTTGTTCCCCATTGCCTCATGGTTGAAGTCCAGGATATACTATAAGGTATTGTTGCATATAGTTTAACATAATAAAGCTGAAATTGATCTATGCCAAGATAAAATTAATTTATTTATACCATGAAAACTGATTTCTTGGAAATGCAAAAAAGAAAAAAATTCCATCATTGGAGCTGGTGTATCAGAGAAGCAGCCTCTAATGGCAGACATGAGCAGCAGCTTAATTAACAGTTATTAATTAACTTAATCATAGTTAGTGCTTGCTGAGCCCCTACATACAGCACTGGCTGGCTTGCTCTCTCTCAACTGTGTGATGCTTGCTCCAGCCTCAGGGCCTTTGCACTTGCTGTTCCCACTGCCAAGGACTCTCTTCCCACACAGCTTACTTCCCACTCACTTCCTTCCAGTCACTACTCATATGTCACCCCAACAGAGGTGCTTTCCCTTCCTAATCTACATAGCTCACCCTCATCTCTATCTATCTCTGCCCTGTTTTATTTTTCTTCTTAGAACTTAGCCCTCCTGACTAATTATGTGTTTATTTGGTTGCTTGCTCACTGGAATGTGAGATCCATGAGATCAGGAACTCATTTTTTTCCACAAATGTATTACCAGGACCTAGGACAGCACCTGGCACACAGTACATGTTCAATCATTAATTGAACATTAATTAATTGGGGGGGAGTTACATAACCAAATCACAAAGTGTTTGATGGGGTCAGGCATAGGAATTTGGACTTCAACCACGAGGCAATGGGGAACAAGGAGGTCTTTAAAAATTAGTTTTGTTATTGTCTTCGTTTAAAAAATATATTGACAAGCAATAAAATTCACCCTTTTTGTGTACAGTACTATGAGTTTTCACAAATGAATACAGCCATGTCACCAACACTACAATCAAGATATAGAACAGTCCCATCACCCCCCAAATTCCCTTGTTCCTCCTCCCACCTCCCAGCCCCTGGCAACCATTAATATATTTTCTGTTCCTATAGTCTTGTCTTTTTGAGAATGTCACATAAGTGGATGAAATCATCTAGTAGATGTCTTCTTGACTCACTTGAAAGAAGTGAGGCTTCTTTCACTAAGCGTAATGCATTTGAGATCCATTCACATTGTGCATATCAATAGTTCATCCTTTTTTATGGCTAAGTAGTATTCTATCATATGGACAAGCCACAGTTTGTTTATCCATTCCCCAGGTGAAGGACATTTGTGTTGTTTCCCGTTTTTGAAGGTTATGAATAAGGCTGCTATAAAAATTTATGTACAAAAAAATTTTTAAGCTGAAATACAATTCATATACCATAAAAGTTACCCTTTAAAGTGCACAATTCAGTCACATTGAGTACGTTCACAATGTTGTGTAACCTTCACCACTATTCAATTCCAGAACATTTTCGTCACCTCAAAAAGAAACCCCATACCCATTAGAAGTCACTCCCCATTCCCCCTCCCTCAGCCTCTGGCAACCGTGTATCTATTTTCTGTCTCTGTGGATTTGCCTGTTCTGGGCATTTCATATAAATGGGATCATACAACATGTGACATTTTGTGTCTGGCTTCTTTCACTCAGCATAATGGTTTTGAGGTTCATCCACGTCACAGCATGAATCAGTGCATCATTCCTTGGTATGACTGGATAATATTCCATTGTATGGATAGACCGCAATTTCCTTATCCATTCACCCATTGATGGCCATTTGGGTTGTTTCTACTTTTCTTTCATGTACAAGTTTTTACGTGGACATATATTTTCAATTCTCTTCACCTAGGAATAAAAATTGCTGGGTCATATGGTAGCTATAAGTTTAACTTTTTTTTTTTTTTTTTTTTTTTTTTTTTTTTTGCGGTACGCAGGCCTCTCACTGCTATGGCCTCTCCCGTTTCGGAGTACAGGCTCCGGACGCGCAAGCTCAGCGGCCATGGCTCACAGGCCCAGCCGCTCCACGGCATGTGGGATCTTCCCAGACCGGGGCACGAACCCGTGTCCCCTGCATCGGCAGGCGGACTCTCAACCACTGCGCCACCAGGGAAGCCCTAGAAGTTTAACTTTTTAAAGAACTGCCAGACTGTTTCCCAAATCAGCTGCACCATTTTACATTCCCACCAGCAGAGTATGATGTTTCCAATATCTCCACATCCTGGCTAACACCTGTTATTGTCTGTCTTTTTTAGTATAGCCATCCTAGTGGGTGTGAAGTGGTATCTCACTGTGGTTTTGATTTCCATTTACTTAATTACTAGTGATGTCGAGCATCTTTTCACGTGCTTACTGGCCATTTGTATACCTTTTTTGGAGAGATGTCTATTCAAATCCTTTACCCATTTTGTTTTGTTTTAATAGACTTTGGTTTTAGAGAAGTTTTAGGTTCACAGCAAAATTGAGAAGAAGGTATTCAGAGTTTTCCCTTACATCTCCTGCCCCACTCATGCACAGCCTCCCCAGATATCAACATCCTCCACCAGAGTGGCGCATTTGTCACAGGTGATGAACCTACATTGACCCATCATCAGCCAGAGTCCATAGTTTAATTAGAACTTATTCTTCATGTTGTACATTCTGTGGGTTTGGACGAATGTATAACGAGGCATAGCCATCATTATAGTGTCATACAGAGTAGTTTCACTGCCCTAACAATCCTCTGTGTTTCACCTATTCATCCCTCCCTCCCCCCAACACTTGCCCATTTTTTTCTTGGGTTATTTGTCTTTTTGTTGTAAAGTTCTAATAGTTCTGTATATAGCTTGGAGACTAGTCCCTTACCAGTTACATGATTTGCAAATATTGTCTCTATTTCGTGGGCACGTACAGGTTTTTGTGTGCACATAGGTTTTCATTTCCCCTGGACAAATACCCAGGAGTGGGACTGCTGAGTCATGTGTAAGTGTATGTTTATGAAAAACTGCCAACCCATTTTCCATAGTGGCTGTACCATTTTGCATCACACCCTCAATGTATAAGAGTTCCAGTTGCTCCATGTCTTTGTCAACACTTGGTATTGTCAGTATTTTTCCCCCAAAAAAATCATCTTCGGGGGGGGGTTTAACACTTGATCATAGTCATATTTTACAGCATGGCTTCACACGCTGGAGCAAAGTATGGAAGCTGAGGCAGGGGCCAGAGGAGTCTTGTGGGAGGAACTGCAATGGTCCAGGCCAGGGAGAGTGGGGATGAGGGAAGGGGAAGACTCAAGAGTGATTCAGGGGGCCTGGGGTATGGGGCTGGAACTGGCTGAGCAGGAGAGGAAAGTGGGAGGAGGCCAGATCCAGAGTGAGAAGGGCAGGGAGTGCCAGGCTGGGAACTTTCAACTCCCAGATTTTCTGCCCAAGAGGATTCTGAGTCTTCATAAGGTTGGGAGCTGCTACATTGTATTTACCCCTTGAGGATGTATGGTGCACATTAACATATTAAAGCCTCTGATAAGTCCTGCAATAAAGAACTCTGGCGTTATTTAACCCAAACTTAGACATTGGATTGCTCTTCTCAAGCCACAGCATCAGCCTCATCCTCATCCCCAATGCATACCTCATCTAGCTTGTTTACCATTATGTGCCTAGAGCTTGCCTGTATCCAGTGGTCAAATATTTTGGGGGGTGTTGTATTAATGATCTCATTAGATCTTCAGAACAACTCTATGAGGTAGGTACTAATATAATTTCCATCTTACAAACGAGGCTCAGAGAGGCCAGATGACTTGCCTAAGGCCACACAACTAGTGGGTAAAGAGCTGGAATTTGACCTGGGGTGTGCTGGCAGCCTCTCCACCACCCTGCCCATCTCTCAAAGGTGCCCCATACCCTCAGTCTCACCTGGTGGTGGCAGGTGTGCTCTCCCCACTGAGGGCTACCCTGTGACCTCCCAAAGCCCTTCTCCTTGCTCTGGTGGCTGTGGACATACTCAGGCTGTTGCCCAGAGAGCTCGGCTGTAACTTGAGCCGCACCCAGGCTGGGGGTGATGTGGAGGGTGGGCAGGTGACAACCAGGGCAGGGAGATTTGCCCAGACACTGGTACACAGCAGCCTGCCGACCGGTGTGGCCCCGAGGAGTTTGGGGGCTTTGGGAGCTTGTTCCAGGGTCCTGGCAGTGGTCTTCATCATGGGCAACAAGCAAACAGTCTTTACTCATGAGCAGCTGGAAGCATATCAGGTAGGCGTGATGGGCCGGGCCCTCGGTGGGTTTAGCAGCCTTGGTTTACTGGCCCAAGAAATGGGGACAGCATCTCTTCATCCTGGGTGTGCAGTCAGCATGCGTTCTGGGGAGGCTCTGTGTGTGGCTTCAGGCAGCGATGGACATGGGCTTGTGGGAGAGGAAGGAGGCCCCCCGCCCCAGGCAGGGTCTGGGTCAAGCCAACATCTCTCTCCGCAGGACTGCACCTTCTTCACGAGGAAGGAAATCATGAGGTCAGTCTAGGGAGGAGGGAGGAAGAGGTGGAAACTTGCTATACGTTGCTTGATTTGCAATTTTACCACGTTCAATGCTTCATAAGGGTTAAAGCACTAATGGGGGGATTGCGTGCGTGGTCGGTGGATGTATGCAGAGACGGGAAGGCTGAGAAGTCACATCTGGTCCTGTTGTCATGTCTCTAGGCTGACAAGCTTGGGCTTTCTCCCAAAGGTGGCGGGGAGCCATAGAGAGTGTGTGAGCATGGCAGATGAAGATCAGCATGTTAGAAAGATCCCCCTGAGGCCAGTGTGAAAAGGCTGGGAGGCCAGGGGCAGAGTCTAGAGCCAGTTCTGGGCTGTGGGGTTGACATCAATGTTAGAGAGTGAGAAGGTGGCCCCAGGCTGCTGCAGGTCCCTGGTGTGAGCGAGCCAGGCATAGATGGGTATTCTACATCATCACTCATCCCATGGAGCTGTTATCCAGAGGCCCCGACCCATGAACTTGGAGCTGTGAAACTGAAGCTGGCTGGGGTTTAGCTGCAGAGTTGGCCAAGGCCCCAACTGTGTGGGCACAGGACATCCATTATTGATGGACACACCTTTCACCAGTGAGCCCCATTGTCTGGATGAGGACAGCTTGCAAGGTCATCCTGGCCATCACGATTGGATTACTGATGGGGAAACTGAGGCTCAGACAAGGGAGGCTGACCCCAGGCCCCTGGGTAGATGGGTAGAGCCCCAAGGAGTTGGAGACTAACATTTTGTCTGCCTCGAGCTTCTTGCTTGTCAGACAGACCTACTGAGGGGAAAGGGGCATGAGGGGGAAGAGGGACTTACTCAAGGCCATACAGAAGCCCAAACCCAAGCCCAGGCTAATCTCTGAAGGAACCCAGGACTGAAGTTCCAGATATCTCCTCCTCGAGTTCCTAGCCATCGTGTGACCGAGGGGCTCCTGTCCCCCTCAGAGACAGTCCCTAGCAGCTTGGGGACCTCTGACTCATCAAGGATGGTCTCTACAAGGCTACTGCTCAGCATGCTTCAATGATGGTATGGTGTCACCAGGTGAGGGCATTAGGGTGGAGAGCTGGCTCTACCATCTAGGTAGTGTGTATGGCATTTGGTGTTTTGCAAAATGTCTTTCATTTACCCTTTTGAAAAACCTTAATATTAGACTTTTGTGTTTGCTCTGCCCCATTGAGAGAACCCTGCCCCCCATTATGAAGGGAGAGAAGGAAAGTGTGAGGATGTGGGCCGTTAGAGGCCTTGCCAACGATGTCATAATGTCCAGAGATACATAGATCGGCTCAGATTCTCTGAATGCTAAATGTGAATGCTATTTCTCTCCTAGCATGGAGCAATGCTGTTTAATTTTTTGTTCTTTCATCTGCTTACTTCTTATTGACTTTCTCTCGGAGGAAACCCAAAGGTTCTGTTTTGTTCACCATCCGTCTCTGTGCCTGGCACATAGTAGGTACTCAGTAAATACTTGCTGAATGAATGAATGAAAATTTATCACAGTGCCTGGCACACCGTAGGCACTCAATAACTACTTGTTGAAAGAGGGAATGAATGAATGACCTTGCCTTAAACACTCTCCCTTTGTCAACCCCATCTGCTTGGTAAGCTCCTACTCATGCTTCAAAACCCAGCATCAATGCTCCCTCCTCCAGGAAGAATTTCCTCCTCCCTGGCTTGCTTCCTGTACTCTAGTTTTCCCTAGCTCTGGAGTCCTCTCTTTACCTTGGCATTGTCCCCAGGGCGATAAAGGCACCTGTGTCTGGCTTTGTGTGTGTGAGGCTTAGGCCCACGGCTAATGGCTCTTGGGGACTCAGCATCTTTCAGTGTAGAGTAAGCAGCTGCAAGAGTGAGAGAGTAGGGACAAGGCCACACACACCCATCTCCCAGACCTTCTCGTTGTTTCTGTCCCCACACCAGGCTCTTCTATCGCTACCAGGACCTTGCCCCCCAGCTTGTCCCTCTCGACTATACCAGCTACCCTGATGTGAAGGTTCCTTACGAGCTCATTGGCAGCATGCCTGAGCTGAAGGTATGCCTGGGCCATGGGGCAGGCAGGGAAAAAATAGTAGGGATGTCCCTTGCTGCATTCCTATGAGGTGAGTACTGTGATTATTTCCATTTTACATATGAAGAAACTGAAGTTCAGAGAGGTTAAGACACTTGTTCATAATCACACAGCTAGGACATGACATAGACAGGATTTAAACCCTGGGTTGTTGGGAAGATAAGATGAGATAATGCAGGTAAACGGCTCAGTACAGGGCCTGTGACATGGCAAGTACTCAGGGAACATTAGGTTTTCTTTTCATAGTAGGAGCTATTAAATGTGGGTTCTTCTCAGCTGGTTCTTTGACACATAGTTTGTGACTCTGGAGGGGACTCTTGGGGTGAGGGACTGTGAATAGGGATTATTTTATCACAGGGGACAGAAACTTCATTCAAGAGGGACAGAATGGGTTGGATCACATGAGCAAAAAATGCAGGGAAAGGCTTAGCATCACGTACAGCTGGAACCAGGGTCTCTGAGGATATGCTTGGGAATCTCCCTCCATCTTTCAGTTTCTCCCAGGAAGAGTCTTCAGTCTCAGGAAGGCTGTTCTCTTGAGGTAGTGAATGGAAACACCAGCTGCCTCAGATTTCCTCCCATAAGCTCTGCAACAAGCAGAAATAAGGTTCCTCCACCCCAACTTTTCAGCAACTCTCCCAGGGCAGCCTCTGATTGGCAAGTTTGAGTCATATGCTCATCCCAGAGGCAATCACGGTTGCCAGGTGAATGGAAATCCCTGATTGGCCTCACTCGGGTCATGTGACGGCCTCTGAAGCTGGAAATGGGGTTAACGACACCCAGACCACTGGGGTGGAGATTGGAGTTGCCTGAAGTCTTCTCCAGGGATCATGGGAGGAAGACAGTCTTGGTGAGGGGTACTTGGAGGTTCCCAGGAAGGTGAGTGTTGAGAGTGAAACCATGTGGAGCCCTCCCCCCAAGGTCCTGGTCAGGGATTGGTTCCCTGCTTCCTGTCTCTAGGACAACCCTTTCCGTCAGAGGATCGCCCAGGTCTTCTCCGAGGATGGGGATGGCCACATGACCTTGGACAACTTCTTGGACATGTTTTCTGTGATGAGTGAAATGGCTCCCCGCGACCTCAAAGCCTACTACGCTTTTAAAATTTATGGTGTGTGCAGGGACCTGGGGTGGGGAAACGGGAATGAGACCGGGTCGGGCCAGGGGCTGCCCTGCCATCACAAATGTCTCCCCAAGGGCTCCGAGGCCCTGCGTGGCCCTGTCCTTCACCTCACCCTGGTACCTCCCCACCCCATCCGTTTACTGACTCCATTCCAGCCACAATGGCCTGGCTGTTTCCCCAACACATCAAACTCTTTCTGCCTCTAGGCCTTTGCCTCTCTTGTGCCCTTGTCTAGAATACCTTTCCCCTGGCTTCTTCTTACCTTGAAATTTTGGTGAAAAGTAACCCATGCCCCTGAGTTACTCTCCATGCCACAGCCTATTTCTCTCCTTGCATGGAGCAATGCTGCTTAATTTCTTGTTCATTCATCTGTTCACTCCTTATTGACTTTCTCTCTGAGGAGACACGAGGGCAGTGACAGTGTCTTTTTGGTTCACCATCTGTCTCTGTGCCTGGCACATAGTAGGTACTCAGTAAATACTTGCTGAATGAATGAATGAATGAAAATTTATCACAGTGCCTGGCACACAGCAGGCACTCAATAAATACTTATTGAAAGAGGGAATGAATAACAGTTATCACACACCTGACACATAGTAGGTGCTCAATAAATACTTGAGTGAATGAATGACCTCCCAGCAGGTCCCTGCCCAATTCCAAAGCAAGATCCAGATAAAACCCTAGGGTCTTGGGTTCCCTCCAGTGGCTCAGTTTCCTCCTCTGTAAGACAGGGAAAAGATGTGCCCGTGACTGGCCCAGCCTGCCTGCCCCTGTGTCCCCTCACCACCACAGCTCCACCTGTTCTGCTGCGCAGACTTTAACAACGATGACTACATCTGTGTGTGGGACCTGGAGCAGACGGTGACCAAGCTAACGCGGGGAGAGCTGAGCACTGAGGAGGTGAGCCTGGTGTGTGAGAAGGTGCTGGATGAGGCCGACGGGGACCACGACGGGCGACTGTCCCTGGAAGACTTCCAGAACATGATCCTGCGGGCGCCGGACTTCCTCAGGTGACATTCCTCTCCACCCTGCACAATCCGTTCCCATGTATGAGAGAGGCTCTTATGGAAAGGGTTCATAGACTCCCTTTGTGAAAATCCCTCTGTTCATTCATTTGTGACCTTGGGGAACTTTCCCGACCTCCCTAGCCTCAGTCCCTGTGTCTTTAAAATGGGGATAATTAGAGACCTTGTGAACACCTCCTCTGGGTGGACACAGCCCTTTGGGTGAGTGGAATATGGTTGGACTTCAGCCCTCAGTTGCTTGAACATTTTGTAGTGAACAGACTGTACCATAGCACTTGGCAGCCCTGGGGAGAATCAGTGCTTCCACTGTAGGGCGGATAGCATGGGTTAAATGAGTTAATACAGGGGGTTGGCCCACCACCTGTTTTTTGTGAGCTAAGAATGGTTTTTACATTTTTAAATGGTTGGGGGAGAAAATAAAAGAATCATCATACTCCACGACACATGAAAGCCGTATGAAATTCAAATTTCCGTGTCTATTGCTAGTTTTATCGGCACACAGCATGCCTGTTTGTGTACATAGTGTCTATGGCTGCTTTTGAGCTACATGGTGGTGCTGAGTCATTGTGCAAAGCTGGAAATATCAACTATTTGGCCCTTTGCCGAGAAAAGTTGAGTGACCTCTGAGCTAGTACACGCAAAGAATTTAGAGCAGTGCCTGGCATACAGTAGGTGCTCAGTAACTGCTTTATGGTTGCTGTTGTGGCTGTTATCATTGGTGGTATCCTTTCATGACCAGAGGGCCTCCTTCCTCTACCCTGGATAAGCAAGGATGGTCTCCCGCCACAGAGACACGAATAATGACACCAGGATGAATCCCTTGCTACTAATTGAGCACCTACTGTAGGTCCCGCCCTGTACATTGGCCTCTTTTTAGCCCTTATTACAGCACAGTGAAGGAGGGACAGCTTATCCCCATTTTACAGGGGAGTAAACTGAGGCCCAGAGAGGGGTAGCCACGCACTTAGAGTCTGGGGCAGAGCCAGGATGTACACTCTGATCCAAAGTGATGTGCTCTCAACCCCTGTGGGGGTCAGGAAGGCCACGGCCTGGGGTTTATTGAGGGGGTCTATCTCTCCCCCACCCACTGTGGCTCCTTGCATGCCTCGGGGACTCCTGGTGGGAGTGTTGGGGAGAAGGACGAAGGAAGGGTACCCTCTGCCTGCTGACAGACTCCCTTTCTCTTTGCACCCAGCACCTTCCACATCCGCATCTGAGGGTACTGCGGAGGAGCCGGGCCAGAGGAAGGCAGGGCGACCCCTCATCTCAATGTAGAATCTGGTCTCCCTGGGCTCCGGGAATAAACACACATCACTGAGTCACAGCTGCTCCGAAAACATGTTTCCCGACTTTAACCTGGCAGACAAGAGGGAGGCAGCCAAGGATCTAACCTCTGTCCTCACTATGTGATCCTGGGTGTGGCTGCACCCTCTCTGGGCCACAGTCTCCCCATTTGTACAAGGAAAGGGGTGACTTCTGGATGTCTCTCCACCGAGAGGACTGGAAGTGCCTCACTGTGGGTCTCGGTGGGCGGAGGCGAGGTGTGGAGATCAGGCCCATGCTGTCCCAGCTCAGGGCCTCCCAAGGCCCAACCCTCGACTGCTCAAGGTGCCTTTTCCCCCCTCAATCCCCGAATTCCTCAAGGGGACTAAAGCTTCACCTCCTCACTGATTCATTAGAATCGCCAGAGGAGGCCTCTGGAGAGGGTGTGGTGGCGGGAATGTTATTCACTGAGGCTGGCACAGTGCTTTACAGTTCAGGAAACACCTGCCATTCTTTCATCACATTGGCTGCCTGTGACATCCCAGCAGGGTTGGCTGAGGAGAACTCACACTTCGTTCAGAGGCAACAGGGTGACTTGCCCAAGGCCACACCTGAAGTCATCTGCAGAGGTGGACTTGAACCCAGGCCCACTTCACTGCACATCCCAGACCTCTACATATTGCAGATTTGGGAACCCCCATACCCAGTCCACCTATAGTCAGCCTGGGGGCCCATTCCATGTCCCCAGTCAATCCAAGGAGTGGTCATTCCTGCAAGAGAGACAAGCCCCCCAGGGACCCTCCCAGACACCTCCACTGTGTATCATTTCTAGGGTGTCCACTCTTGCCCTAACCCCCATTTATTAAGCACCTACTGTGCACTAAAGCTCTAGGTTTTATTTGAATTCTGCTGGTTCATCCTGAGAAAGAGGGACTGCTTTTCTCCCCATTTTCCAGATGAGGAAACAGGCCCAGAGATGTCTAGTGACTCACCAAAGGTCACACAGCCCCACAACCCAAGATTCCCTCCAGAGCCCATCCCCATCCACAGCCCTAGGCTGCCTCTCCCTTTTTAAAGGAAAGGGCCTCTTATGCCTCTCCTAAAGCTGCCGTTGATGTCAGGAGTGCTTACTGTGTGCCAAGCCCTCCACAAGTTTCATCTCCATTTGCACAAGAACCCTGAGAGGAAGGCATGAACAAGCTCTGTTACAGACTAGGATGTACTCTATGAGGTGTGCCTAGGTTACGTGGGGAAAGGGCTCAAACTGACCTGGCTTCGAATCCTGGTGCCGACACCCCAGCCATGTGACCTTGGCCACACCTCTTCTCCTCTCTGAACCTGGATCTTCTTTATTTTTTTAATTTTAATTTAATATAATTGTTTTGGCTGTGTCGCGCAGCTTGTGGGATCTTAGTTCCCCGACAAGGGATCGAACCCAGGCCCTTGACAATGAGAGCATGGAGCCCTAACCACTGGACCGCCAGGGAAATTCCTGTCTCTTCTTTAAAATGTGCAGAATGGGGGCTTCCCTGGTGGCGCAGTGGTTGAGAGTCCGCCTGCCGATGCAGAGGACGCGGGTTCGTGCCCTGGTCCGGGAAGATCCCATATGCCGCGGAGCGGCTGGGCCTGTGCGTCATGGCCACTGAGCCTGCGCGTCCCGAGCCTGTGCTCCCCAACGGGAGAGGCCATAACAGTGAGAGGCCCGTGTACCACACACACACAAAAAAAAGTGTGGAATGAACTTACCTGATGGGCCTGCTCAGAGGCATAAAAGAAATAATGAACATGGAGGGTCTGGTGTGAGGCTAGGCACAGAGTAGGTGTCCTAGACGCCACTGCGGTAACATTATTATTATTACTAATTATTATTAAAATGACCAGGTCACCTTACTGGCAATCGCAGGACCAGACCCAAGCAATGTCTTTATTACATTCCTCAGGTCCCTGAGGGCTAGTGGGTCATGGCAGAGAGCAAAAGGTCCGGGTGTGAACGGCCCCCGGCAGAGAGGGTCCCAGAGCCGGGGCGAACCTAGCAGTACCCAGGGGCGAAGGGTGGCGGTGAGCGGTACTCTTCGGGGAGACAGTCCTGTGGTTCTTTCGAGCCCCTTGGCTCCGGTTTGGACACGTGTGAGGACAGGGCCCTCACGACTGCCTGGTGCCAGTCCCTGACCCTCGAGCTTGTCTCGCTCCAGCTGGCTGACCTTGAGGCTTTCCTGGAGGGCTCATCTCTGTTTCTTGGAGCTTGGGGGTCTGTGAAGACATTATTTTTCCAGGCTGAGTCCCCTGCTCCAGCTCCAGAGCCATGGGTCACCACCAACGGCTTGGCGTCCCAGAGCGATGAGCTCGCAGCCACCAGCTGGGATTTCAGCTCCTGCTGGACCTTCTTGCCCATCCGGGGGAGTATCTTGAGATTCCTCCAGATTTTCTGGCGGGCCTCCTCAAGAGGAGATTTCGGGGGGCAGGAGGAAGTAGCTTTCTCTGTGGATGCCCCGTCCGGCTCTGCCAATGGCTTCCCTTCTTTTCGCCGATGGAGCAGGACTGGGTTTGTGAAGGCCTGAAACCGAGAGCAGGTGAGACCTGGGGCTACCCCGCCTACCACAGCTCTGAATCTGCCCCAGAAACTGGGATCTGGGTTCCACCCAGATGTCCTGGGGCCAAGAAAGTCCCAAAGAGAACCCCCAAGCCTGATCCCACGACCCACCCTTCCTGTCTCAGTAAAGGGCTTCACTGTCTCCCTCGGTGGTTGGCAAACTTTTTCTGTAAGGGGTCAGAGAGGAAATGTTTTCAGCTTTGCAGGTCAGTCTATGTTTCATCACTCACCTCTGCTGTTGTAAGGCCAAAGCAGCCAGAGATCATACGTCAGTGAGCGAGCGTGCCTGTGTTCCTCTAATACTTTATGGACACGGAAATGTGGGTTTCATCTGACTTTCAAGGGTCATGAAATACGATTTTTCTTTTGATTTCTTTCAGCCATTCAAAAACATAAAAGTCATGCTTAGCTCATGGGCCATACAGAAGGAGGCAGTGGGCCAGATGCGGCCCTTGGGCAGTAGTTTGCCAACCCCTGATCTACCAGGTTGTTCAGGCCCCAAACTTGGGTGTCATTTGTGGCAGATGCTGTCCATGCCCCATCCACATCCCTTTGTCTTGAGCATTTTGGTGCCTCCAGCTCCACTCCCAAGTGCCAGCAGTGGGGACTCTGCCTTGGGGACTTCTTTGGCCACTTTGCAGACCAGAGGTACCAGAGAATTAAAACCTCCCAGAGAGAGCGCTTGACTAATGACTGATGGAAGGGAAGATCAGTACCACAGCTCCTCGTCCTAAGGTGGGATAACTGACGTGCACGCTCCACAGAGTCCATAGGGGTAACCCGCTCACTACAGCAGCCTCCTTTGGTGGCCCTCTCTCTCCTGACCCACTTTCCTGCTCCCCTCATGGCACCTCCTGGGATCACTTCCTAAATAATGGATGACTGGGGGACTCAAACCATGACACCGTCCCTCTTCCCCTCACCCTCCACCTCCAAGCCATCAGCAAGATCCACCTTTAGGGCTCCCTTTCTAGTTTCTCCCACGTGGATACTGTCCCTGCCTCCTTCCCGCCCCCAGACAGCCCCTTCTGCAGCCGGCAGCCACAGGGAACACCATCAGTCCCACCATGCTCAAGCTCTCTCATGGCTCCCCAGCACACCTGGAATAGATCCCAGCACCTCACCCTGGCCCCAAGACCCTGCATGAATGACCCCTGCCGACTCTGGCCCCTCACCTCCCAACAATCTCCCTTTTGCTCACTCCACTCTGTCCACACATTGGCTATTGCGGTTCTTCTGTTTTTCACCCTGAGCCTCAGGACATTTGCATGTGCTGTTTCCTCTGTTTGGAATGCCCTCCCTGCATCTCTGTGTGTGGTTGGCTCCTCTTCATCCTGAATGTCCCAGCTCTATGCCACCTAGTCCAGGAAGCCTTCCCTGACTGTTCCCCCACCCTCACCTGCAAACCCACTGATGTGCCAGGTCCTCTCTGAGGGACAGGAGAAGCAGTGGTGAACAAGTCAGATTCCCAGGCCTCCCAAAGCTCACAGTCTGATGGGAGAGGCAGGCAGGAAACATGAAAACTCATAAATAAACAAGACTTTTCAAATTTTACAGACTGCTCTGCTGCAAATGAACAGGGTGATGTGATGGAGAAGGCAGAGGGGCTACTTTAGGTCTGCTGACTGGGGAGAGCGATACTTGAAGAAGAAGTGATGAAAGAAGCCAGGCATGGGAAATCTGGGGGCAGAGCACACAGCACATGCAAAGGCCCTGAGGTTAGCTTGATGTGTCAGAACAGCAGAAGGGTTGGCAGAGGGGCTGAAGTTGGGCTGGTGATGGGTAGCAGGACCTGAGATCATAGTTGGGATTTTAATCTCAGTGCCTTGGGAAACCACTGAAAAGTTTTTTGTTTGTTCTTGGGGTTTTTTTTGCCACACCCCATGTGGCATTGGAAGTACAGAGTCTTGACCACTGGACTGCCAGGGAAGTCTCCCTGAAAAGTTTTAAGCTTGGAGCTATGGGATCTAATCTTCATTCTAGAACATCTCCTCTGGCAGCTGTTGGCCACCTCTGCTCCTGCATCCCCCTGCCCCACCTCCCACCTTCCAGATTGAAGGTGCCAGTTTTCTGTCACATACCTCTTCAAGTGGGTCCATGGGACAAGAGGAGGGATTCTGGTATTTGCTGAGGCCAAGAGCAGAGCTGGTGGCTTCCTCAGCCAATGCGTCAGAGAAAAGGAAGAGATCCTTATAATCCGCATTTGCTGGATCCTTCTGCGGGGCAGAGGGGACATGCAGCTTAGTCCCAAGGAGGGTACAGGGATGGGGCTGTGGTCCCAGATCCTGGAAATGGGGGCTCAGAGGTTGCCCCATCCACAAACCTTGTAAGGAAGAATGCCCCTCCCACAGCAGCTACTGAGGGCTAGGCCCTGCCCTCTGGGCCTTATAAGGAATATGCCACACTCACAGCCCCTTCTGAGGGCCTAGGCCACGCCCATCAATCCTTAAAAGGAGATATGCCCCTCCCAC